GCACCCGGCCTCTCTCGACGCCGCGCCGCGCCACGCCCCCCTCGGCTGCCGCCCATTGGGCGAGAGCTCCGCCTACGACCCGCAGTTGGCCGTCGACGCGGCTGATTGGAGGACGCTCGGCCGGGCCTCGCCCCGTGGTCGCGTCATGGGACGGGCCCCGCCTGCCGCCAGCGTCATTGGCCAGGCCTCGCGGTGGGGGGGCGTGTCCCGGGAACACCCCCGGCCTTGGCGCCGCTCCCCCGTGAACTTCACTTCCGCCTCTGCGCGCTGGGTCTGGGACGCCCGGAACCGGGCTGGGGAAGCCGCGGGGCTGACCCTGAGGCCCGGCGCCTGTATTGACCTTGCTGGGCCCGGGACCTACACCTGCCGCTACACCTGCTTCTCACCTCCGGGCCACGGGCCACAGGGCAGGTGGGGCGCCCGCTCCGACCCTCCAGGTGTGCATGCCGAGGGCCAGCCTCACCTGGGCAGGGCCCGTCTGTGGAGGCCCCGGGAAGGCGGGCCCAACGCAGGCTGAGGCCTCGCTCGCACCTCAGCGACCCCGCTAGCTTCCCGCCTCCGGCCGGCCCCGTGCCACCCCCGACGTGCGGGCCGGGCCTCCCGGCCCACAGGATCTGACAAAGCCAAGATGTCTTTTTTTTTTTTTTCCCCAGTCCTGGGTCTTGAACTCAGGGCCTGGGCACTGTCCCTGAGATTCTTTTGCTCAAGGCTAGCACTTTACCACTTAAGCCACAGTGTCACTTCCAGCATTTTCTATTTATGTGGTACTGAGGAATTGAACCCAGGGCCTCATGCATGCTAGGCCAGTACTCTACCACTGAGCCACCTTCCCAGCTCTGGAGTGCTGAGATTTTACAGGTATGTCCCACCACATCCAGTATATGCTCAGCAGTTGAACACCCTGATTGCCCAATTCCAAACTGACAAGATAAAATCAAACACATGAAAAACAAAACTTTTTTTTTTTTGGGTCCGGTTGTGGGGCTTGAACTCTGGGCCTGGGCACTGTCCCTCAGCTCTTCAGCTCAAGGCTAGCACTCTACCACTTGAGCCACAGCGCCACTCGGCTTTTTCTTTTTGCTTATGTGGTGCTGAGGAATCGAACCCAGGGCCTCATGCATGCAAGGCAAGCGCTCTACCACTGAGCCACCTTCCCAGCCCCGAAAAACAAAACTTTTAAAAATAACAAGGAAAACCACTTCAAGGTTCAGTTTGAGCTCGAGAGTCAATGGTTTGAGGTCAGCTGAAGCAGAAAAGTCTATCTCCAAAATAACCAGCAAAAAGCCAGGATGCAGGTGTGGCTCAAGTGGTTGAGGGTCAGCTACTGCAATCAAACCCTGGGGGAGGGGAGCCAGCACCTAAGCAACTGATTGCAAAGGCAAAGGCTGAGTTGACTGAACCCCATCCCAGACAAAGGGGACAAAGTTAATTGCACTGATCAGGCTGCTGTGCTAGAGCAGAGGTCAACACACCTGCTCGCAACCAGCCAGACACTAAAGGTTTTAGCCTAGTGGTTTTCAACCGGGACAGGACAGTGTTTTTTTGTTTTTGTGACGAGCACTCTACCACTTGAGCTACAGCACCACTTCTGGTTTTCTGGTGGTTTATTGGAGATAGGAGTTTCACAGTCTTTCCTGCCGGGGCTGGCTTTGAACCGTGATCCTCAGATCTCAGCATTCTGAGTAGTTAGGATTACAGGTGTGAGCCACCAGTGCCCGGCTACAACCGGGACAGTTTTGTGTGTGTGTGCCAATCCTGGGGCTTGAGCACACCTCCACCTCTGGCTTTTGTGTGTGTGTGTAATGGTTAACTGGAGACAGGACTTTAATGCCTGGGCTGGCTCTGAACCTCAATCCTAATATCTCAACCTCCTGTGTAGCTAGGATTACACCACCAAGCCAAGCTCAACATAGAAAATATTATTCCCCCAGGGCACTTGACAAAGTAGAGATAAACTTTGGGTTGTAGTAAGTGAAGTGTGGGAGTGGCACCCAGTGAATAGAAGGAGTGCTCTGCTAATTACCTACATCCTCAAGACAGTCTTTCCGGCAACTACAATAAAGACCCAGCCCAAAGAGCTGAGTGCTGAGGAGGAGCAATGCATTCCACACGCCACTCCTGTTGTGTCACACACTCACCTTTGTGAGTGGGTGTGCAAATGTGCCAGTAGAAGGTTTTAAACTCAAGGCAAAGTACTCACTTGGCGCTTGCTGGTTAGATTGTTCTGCCCAGGAAAGGCACAAACCTCAGTTCTCCAGGTCTCAGCCTCCCGATAAGCTAGGATTACAGGCTTAAGCCACCAGTGCCATTCATCTTTTGTTTTTGTTTTGGTAGTTTTGAGCTCAAGGCCTCCAGCTTGGCAGGCCAGGTGCTCTGTCACACCTCCAGCCACTTTTTGCTTCAATTTTTTTCAGGTAAAGTCACATTTTTTTTCATCCATGGCCAGCCTCAGATTACAATCTTCCCAAGGCTTCTTTTGTAGCAAGGATACAAGCCAGTACCATCATGTCCAGTTTATTGAAATAGGATCTCAATGACATTTTGCCTAGGCTGGCTTTGAGCCTTGATCCTCCCAATCTTCACCTACTCCAGATACTGAGGGTAGCTGAGATAACAGGCAGGAGCCACAGTGCCAGCTACCCTTTGCTTTTTGTTGTTGTTGTTGTTTATAACAGACAGCTGAGCCAGGCACCGGCATCTCAAGCCTCTGTAATCCCAGATCTCAGGATCACATTTGAAGCCAGCCTGGGCAGGAAAATCCATAAGACGTTTAATATCCAATTAACAACCACAACGTAAGCAGTGAGCTGTGCCTCAAGTAGGAGAGTGCATCTTCGGCAAAAAAATAAATAAAAATTTAAAAAAGCTCAGGGACAACACCCAGCCCTGAGTTAAAGCTCTAAGATGGGAAATAAATAAGTAAATAAGGGCCACATTCAAGTGGCCCAGGCAGGAAATGAGGAGGCATAACTCAATTGGTAGAGTACCTGCTGAGCAAGCAAGCACAGTGAGCAAGAGGCTCTGAGTTCAAACCCTGGTTCCAGCCAAAAACAAAATAATAAAATTAAAAAGTGGGGCTGGGAAGGTGGCTCAGTGGTAGAGCGCTTGCCTTGCATGCCTGAGGCCCTGGGTTCGATTCCTCAGCACCACATAAGCAAAAAGAAAAAAGCCAGAAGTGGCGCTGTGGCTCAAGTGGTAGACCGGTATCCTTGAGCTGAAGAGCTGAGGGGCAGAGCCCAAGCCCAGAGTTCAGGCCCCACGACCGGACCCAAAATAAATAAATAAATAAAGTGGCTGGAGCCATGGTTCAGCAGTAAAGCACCTGCCTGGAAAGCATGAAACATTCAATTCAAACCCCAGTACCAACAACATCAAAAAAGAAACTGTCACAACCATCCTTAGTCCATGGGTCATACCCAAACAGGCCTCAAGTTTTGGATATGGTTGTGTAATTCCAGCACTTGGGAGGCTGAGGTATGAGGACCGAAAATTTAAGACCAGCCTGGGCTTCATAATCACACCATCTCAACAAGCGAACAAAAAAAGATGCCGGGTACTGGAAGCACACGCCTGTAATCGGAGCGACTCAGGAGGCTGAAATGTGAGGATCTCAGGTAAATGCTAGCCTGGGCAGGATGGCCTGTGAGACTCTTATCTCCAATTAACCACCAGAAAAAAAAAACAGGAGTGACCTGTGGCTCAAAGTGGTAGAGCACTAGCCTTGAGCTCAAAAGCTCAGGACAGTGCCCAGGCCCTGAGTTCAAGCCCTACAACTGACCAAAAAAAAAAAAAAAAATGGGGGGGGGGCATAGTTCAAGTGGTAGAGTGAAAGGGAGATCCTAGGATCAATCTCCAGTACTGCCATAAGTAGAGACCCAACAGACAACATACCAGTACAAGGCTTCTTGGTCTAAAAACAACTTTAAATTACAGAAACAAGATAGGCCTCAGGCCATTGTCTGCCATCCCTATACAGGGGCCCAAAGGAAGCTCAGGCACACTTGAAAGAAGTCATGAGCCAGGTGCCAGTGGCTCATACCTAGCTAATCAGGAGGCTGAAATCTGAGGATCACGGTCCAAAGCCAGCCAGGGCAGGAAAGTACATGAGACTTTTTTTTTTTTCCTCAGTCATAGGGCTTGAGCTCTGGACCTGGGCGCTGTCCCTCAGCTCTTCAACTCAAGGCTAGTGCTCCACTTGAGCCACAGCACCACTTCCAGTTTTCTGAATGGTTTGTTGGAGATAAGAGTCTCATGGACTTTCTTGCTTGGGCTGGCTTTGAACGGCAATCCTCAGATCTCAGCCTCCTGAGTAGCTAGGACTACAGGCTTGAGCCACCAGCACCGGGCTCCATGAGATTCCTATCTCCAATTAACCACCAGAAAACCAGAAGTAGCACTGTGGCTCAAGCAGTAGAGCACCCGTCTTGAGCTGAAAACCTCAGGGAGAGCGCCTAGGCCCAGAGTTCAAGCCCCACAACCGACCAAAAAAAAAAAAAAAGAAGAAGTCATGAAAACCATCAGATCCTCAACTCTGGCCTAGATCTTTGTCCCCTACCTGGGGATGAGAAAGTAAAGCAAATTACTACCTCCTAAAGCAAGAAACACTACCCTAGGCACATGATTAGGCCGAACAGAGCTCTTGAATCTGGTCCACCAGCTTCTGGCACAACAGCATCTCAAAGGTAAATTTGAGGCTAAGTACTGTGGCAGGTCCACCTACAACCCCAATTCTGAATCCAGTCACTCCACACAGCACAGAGTGTGTCACCATTCATCTCATTCAAACCTTGAGAAGCACAGACATGATTGATCATTTCAGGAAAGCATTCTTATTTTATTTTCATTTTCACCTCAGCAAATGCTCTCATTTGGCACCAAATTGGCCTCAAGCACCAAATTGGCCAACAAACCTGGGCTGTCCACAAGCTTCCATGCGTAGGTCTCCGTGCTTATGTGCATCAGTGCACCCCTTTCTGTCTTTAATCTCTTAGGGAAGCCTAAATTTGCCTATAAGGTGGTGGCAGAAGCTTGGGAAGCTGTAATTTACTGAGATAGGAAGCCAAGCAATGCCTGATACCAGAGTTCTTTTCTCGGGTGGCAGATACCCAGATAGGGTCCTTATTATAATCGATTCGGCTTCCTTCCGTCTCTTTCTGGGCTGGGATGAAGAAAGAGCCATTCTCCGATGGCACAGTGGAGAAGATGCAAACTGCTGCTTATTTTCAGACCTCAACCATCTAAGAACCAAAGTCTGGCCTGCATAGATGGAGCTGTGAGCTTTTAGGTCAGTGGTGCTGGCAAGACAAAATCCCTGAGTCCAGATTTATTGCCTTTGTAAAGGAGTACTTCTCTAAGACCTATAGAAAATGCTCAGAGCTCGTTGGGACAGTCTGCCAGTGTGAGAGTTCCAAAGTCAAGAGTTCAGGGCTATTTCTGCTAGGACCCCTCTCAGGATCTCATCGGTTCAGGATTAGCTATTCAAAGCATGAACAACAGGAAACATATCGCATGGATCAAGGCTGCTCGCGTTCCTCAGAAGTGACTGGCAGGGAGAGAAAAGTGCTCGCTCAGCGGGGCACACTGCCCTCTCCTCCGATGTGGCCCAAGCAAGGCCGCGGGTGAAGGTCCGGCTCTTCCCGGGCCCCAGAGAGAAGCTAGTTGACGCGGCAAGCGCGGATCATGAGCAGCTGCAGGAGAATAAAGACCGGAGAGGTGATCAGGCCGAACCAGAGCTCTCGAGTCTGCTCCACCAGCTTCTGGCACAGCAGCATCTCGAAGACGAACTTGAGGCTCAGCACTGTGAGGACCCAGAAGAGGCGCAGCACAGCCAACCGCTTCTCGCCGTCCTGGAAGAGGCGCACGGACACGATGGTGGTGAAGTAGGTGCTGAGGCCGTCCGCGGCGAAGAAGGGCACGAACACGTTCCACCAGGAGAGGCCCGGGGCCAGGCCGTCCACCCGCAGCGCCAGCAGCACGGAGAACACCAGCAGGGCCAGCAGGTGCACGAAGATCTCGAAGGTGGCGAAGCCCAGCCACTGCACCAGCTCCCGCAGCGAGAAGAGCATCGCGCCG